AGTAATCTTGCCTGGAGAATTCCATGGACAGAGGACACCACTGAGCAACTAACACTAATAAGGAATCTTTCCTATTGCTAGCATCAAGCCTAAGAGACTTTGATATGTAATATGGTTCAAAGTTTACTAACAGCATATTAAAAAGCAGACATTACTTTGCCAACAAAGGTCCGTCTAGTCAAGGTTATGGTTTTTCCAGTGGTCATGTGTGGGATGTGAGAGCTGGACTATAAAGAAAGCTGAGCACCGAAGAATTGATGCTTTTGAATTGTGGTGTTGGAGAAGACTCTCGAGAGTCCCTTGGACTGCAAGGAGATCCAACCAGTCCATCCTAAAGGAAATCAGTCCTGGGTGTTCATTGGAAGGACTGATGTTGAAGCTGAAACTCCAATACTTTGGCCACCTGATGCGAAGAGCTGACTCATTGGAAAAGACCCTGATGCTGGGAGGGATTGGGGGCAGGAGGAGAAGGAGATGACAGAGGATGAGATGGTTGGATGGCATCACCGACTCAATGGCCATGGGTTTGGGTGGACTCCGGGAGCTGGTGGTGGACCAGGAGGCCTGCTCGGTTCATGGGGTCGCAAAGAGTTGGACACGACTGAGCAACTGGACTAAACTGATCCATAAAGGTTGTTGCAGCACCACCACACCATTACATGGGTAGGAGGGGTAGGTACTGCTCTCTTTGTTGAGTAATGGCTTGAGGTTGTGCTAAAAATATTGACAACACTTTGTTTTGAGGAGCCATTTATTTTCATGGTTGAGAGTAGACAACCTGTATAGTACCTGGGTTCAAATCCTGACTCTGATGTTTACTTGCTTTGTAACCCTGGGCAATTTTATTTTTCTCTACTAAGAGGTACTTTTAATTAATATGTTCCTTTTACATTTTAATAAAGCTCTTTTCATCTGTGAAATCATTTCTATGGCTGTTTGGCATGTAATCATCCATTAGCTCCATAATGAGATTGGATGAAGTCACATATGTACTTTCAGGGCTGCCCAGGTCTCCAAGGCTTAATTTTGAAGCTTCAACTTGGACCTAAGACCTGAAAATTAGAAATGAAGACTTGGATTATGCATGTCTGACTTCTGGGTACCCTCCCATGATGGACATGTGCTTGGGTATGTTTGAGACAGAGGATTGCAATCCTGTTTTCTTTTATCTACGTCCTTGATTCACACAATTACTTTTAATTTTATTTCATTTATAGAAAAAGAACCAGACCAGTGATCCATAGGAGGAGATAACAAATGATTGAGTGAATAAATGTATTTGGGATCACACACATTATGTGTTTAAATATTTGCATGGAGATATCCATGTATATGATGGGTCATAATGTAAAATATATTTCCCTTTGTCATCTTAAAACCTTGAAGCCCAGAAAGGACCTTTTGTGTTTTCAGCTCTTGCATATTCTCACTTTCTGATTTAAACCACTGTCCAGCCAGACAGTCTGATTTGCTTTTAGACATAGTACTGTCATTTGGACCCCATTTCCAGATTCAGCTTCTTAGCTGCTGCCTACTTGATATAAGGGAAAGAAAATAAGGTCATATGGAGGTGAGCAGGTCTTTGGAGGAGAAATCAAAGATCCTTGGTTGAAAACTTTTAACCAGACTATGTACTACCTGTAATTTTCAAGAATACTTAAGATCAGAGTGATCTAATCCAGGTGTTGATGAACTATGGCCTGCAGGCCAAATCCAGCGTGCCAACTGTTTTTTTAACTTTTTTTTTTTAATTGAGAAAAAAAAATTTTTTTTTGCCTGCTTCTTGTGGCATGTGTATTTTTAGTTTCCCTGCCGTGGGTTGAACCTGTGCCCCCTGCAGTGGAAGCACAGAATCTTTACTGGACCATCAGGGAAGTCCTGCCACCTGTTTTTGTAATAAAAGTTTTATTTGAATACAGCCATACCCATTTGTTAGGTATTCTCTGTGGCTATTTTTTGCTACAGTGACAATAGTTATGTAGTTGTGACAGAAATGATATGGCCTGCATAACCTAAAATATTTATTAATTGGCTTTTGATAGATGAAATTTGCTGCCTTGATCTAAAGGAAGGTTATTTCCTTACTGAAAACATATCTGATAAATATTCAGAGAAAACTGGTTATGGTAATATAATATTTTCTTTATGGGGACTCTCTTTAGTCTTTCTGGGTAAACTGTATAGAAACCATAAGTTTCTTTCTTCTGCTGTTTAGTATATGCATGAGTTTGCCTCTGTATAGCGTATATACAGAATACATTGTTAAGAATGGGACATAAAAAAATAAGGGTGCTGTTAAAATAACTTGTTGAGTGTTAGGGGGTTTAAATATATTATCACTAACCCTCGTACTACTGTACTGTAACTATTATTATCTTGATTGTATTCGGAAGGAAATTGAAACTCAAAGAAATAAAACAGCAAAGCTGTGTATGTGCTCAACCATCTCTGCATGCTTCATCTAGAAATGCTGTCTCTTTCTTCTACCACATCAGTGATAGTATATGCCAGTTTGTTAAATTCCTTGTGTGTGTGTGTGTTCAGTCACTCAGTCCTGTCCAGCTCTTTGCAACGTCATAGAATGTAGCCCGCCAGGGTCCTCCGATCTTGGGACTTTTTCAGCAAGACTATTGCAGTGGGTTGCCATTTCCTTCTGCAGGGATCTTCCTGACCCGGGGTGGAACCTGTGTCTCTTGCATCTCCTGCATTGACAGGCAGATTCTTCCCACCTGGGAAGCCTTGAAGTTGAGGAGATTTTAATATTGCTTCTCTACAAAGATGGAGGAAAGTAAAATTGGACTTATTTTTCTATTCTGGTTAATTTAGTCTCATTAAAGGAAGATTATTCGGCTAGTTGGAGTATAGCATTTGCTTCAAAACATAGACAATTTGAATAAAAGTCTTACTAGCTAAATAATCTTGGATTATATATATTATACATATATTCTTGGCTTGAAGTGGTAATCTAGAGATGAACAATTAGATAATTTATGGGTGTATTTGAAATGAGCTCTTCACTCATCATTAAGAGTCATTTGTATCTATCAATAAATTATGGGTTTGAATTTCCATAAGTGTATTTCAAGTTCCTTTTCCTTTATGGAGGAGCTAGGCTGAAATAATATTTTCTTATACTAATTAACTACTAGCAGGGCAAAATATATTCTTTTCTGGATCTGAAGTTATTACCTTTAACCTTTCTTCATAAATTCTATTATTTTTCTTCATTAGATCCTCTTTGTTATTGAACCAGAGCAATGTGTTAAGTGTAAAGTGACTCATACTTATGATCTCAAACATATTCATCCTTTCAATCTATTTAGATTTTTTTTCCTATTTGAATTTCTATACTTAAATTGACAACAAGCATTGCTTACCCTTAGATTGGAGATAAACTTCCTAAACATTGATTATGATGTGTCGATTCTTATTTTGTACCTTCAATATTCCAAGAAGTTGAAAGGGAAAAACAATCTATTAAGATATCTCAGTAGGTTTCAGAGGAAATATGAACTTTATTTAAAAGCATCGATTTTTACACTTTTCCAATAATCTGTTTTTCTGGAAATAGACAATGTTGCCTCAGATTATAAATGGAATTACATTTAAGATATTCAGTAACAAGTTCTTTTCTGTTCTTCTGAATTTTTTTTCTGTGAAACGTATTGGCTTCTTTGTAATGCATTTTGGGGCTTATACCAGTAAAAATATATTATGGTTTGATTAGCATAGATAAAGATGATCTATTCAAAGTTAGTTTGATTCAGTATTGCATGTGACCTAATGTGACACGTTACCCTTTCTTTGGAGGATAGATTATTTCTTAATGGAGGATAGATTATTTCTTAATGAAGGGTTGATTATTTCAAAGTTGGTGGTCACTTGAGCAAATTTGTGTATCACAGTTTAATTCACAATTGGAAAATATTAATTTGTCATAAACAACAGTATTTAGAATATTGCATTTTGCCACCATGTTTTGTCTAGAACTTTTCCTCTTGCTTTTCAGTACCCTGTGTATTCCAGTTTAGAAAATAAAAATTAAAATGGCCTCTATCTTCAGCTAAATGAGGCTTTTTCTTTACAAATAGTAAATGAACCATGAAATATAATTCTGTATGTTTCTTGCTATTTACTTCAGTCAGAAGAACTTCGTAGATGCTTTGAAGGGGTGAATGTGGAAGGTCATAGTACAATGGTTTTTGAAAAATGTCGTCCATAAAATGTTCAGAGTTGTCTGGGGGACTACTGACTTTTTATTTTTCTCCAGTTCAACTTGGTTCTAAATTAACCTGACCCTGAGTTGTATGGGAAGTTTTGATATCAGAAAGTATTTGACTTTAATATTCATTCTTTCAGGCTTCCCAGGTGGTGCTAGTGGTAAAGAACCTGCCTGCCAATGCAGGAGTCATAGGAGATGTGGGTTCAATCCTTGAGTCAGGAAGATCCCCTGGAGGAAGACATGGCAACTCACCCCAGTGTTCTTGCTTGGAGAATCCCATGGACAGAGAAGCTTGGCAGGCTGCAGTCCATAGGGTCACACAGAGTCGGACACGACTGAAGCGACTTAGCACACACACTTTGATTCTTTTATGATTTCACAGAAAGGGTCTCTGTTTCCATACTGCCTCATAGAGCCATCACCATCTGTTTAAATAAACACTCAAGAATCTCTCTAAATTCTCAATGTTTAGGCAATATAATTTTCGAGATAGGAATATTTTAATTTTTTATATTTTTGTATTTAATGTTATTAGTACACATCCTTTCGGTGGGAATGGAAAGAAATTCAGGCACGTCTAGATTAGCTTGATTTTTCTTTTCAGATGAACAGCTTGCAGTGCCCCACAAATGGGTTGTCCTAGTGGACGCAGGCCATTGTGTGACAGATCTGTACTTTAGCTGGCTGACTGGCATAGAGGAATCAGCAATCTGTGAAATGGCTCTTCAGAAGTAATTTTCCTCTGAGGGTCAAGGAACTTGCGGTTGTCATTTCACTGAAATGGTTTTCTTCTACTTGCAGTCCTGTCACCAGCAGCAAACACAAAAACTGAAAATGCAAGGTGATTCCTTGTTCATTTTTCATCCTCCCTGCCCAAGTACATTTCTTGAACGTCATTTCAGTATTGCCTCCATTTGTCTACCTCAGTGAAGTTTTGAATTTGTACATTAGGTTTTTATTTATGAATTAGAGCCTTGCTAAGATTTCTCTTTTAAATAGGTCATAATACTATATATAAAAATGTCTTGAACAGAGGAACATGTGTGTAGAAGACTATGTATTAAAGAAGACTTTGTTTTTAGTCTAGTGAGCCTTAAAGGTGAACAAAGGTTATGCAAAGTGGAATCAACTCTAGTTATAATTAGCTCTGTCTGTTATAAGGTTGAACCAAGTTATCTACCTCCATTTTCCCCCGTTACTCTTTAAACTTCACATAGCTTCTGGAGTGTTATTGTTGTTACCATTATTATTAATGATATTGTGTGCCTTGAATTGGATCATACTCCTGGATAAAACCTTTTAATGACTTCATACAATGAGAGACTAAAACCTAAATGTTTTACGGCATCTAAAAATCTCATATTTAGTTTGATTCTTTTTTGTCCCCTGCATACTTTTCATTCTCATTATGCAGAATTGAGATTCTTCAGCATCTCGTGTTTCTTTAGATTTGTTCTGCCCTTGCCTTTGCTTTTCCTCTAATTTCAGTCCCACTTTCATTCTGGCCTGCCACATCCTTACTCACTTTTGTAGGCCTGACTCCATGAAGCCTTCCAAAACCAGCTCAGGGATAGCTAGCCAATTCATTTGTCATTTGTGTTCTTTGCGGCTCTGGTCGCACTATTATCGTCCCTTGTTGTGTTGTTTAGTCGCTGTCATGGCCAACTCTTTTGCGACCCCATGGACTTTAGCCTGCTAGTCTCCTCTGTCCATGGGAATTCCCAGTCAAGAATTCTGGAGTGGGTTGCCATTCCTTTCTCCAGGGGATCTTCCCCACCCAGGAATTGAACCTGCATCTCCTGTATTGACAGGTGGATTCTTTACCACTGGGCCACCAGGGAAACCCATGATCCCTTTAACACACTGTATTTTATATATACACTTTCCCACTCATGTCTGTCTATTCCATTCATCAGGCCAGGAATAGTATTTTTGGTATTTTTTATCATCTAGTCCAGTATACTGTATTAGTTCTTAACCTTGAACTTCAAAATTCTTTACAAAAAGATTCATAAACATCTTTTACCAAAGATTAATTCCTATGCTACATATGTGGTGCATAGATATATTGTACCTCTTAGATTAGAACTTATTGTAAATTACAAAATAAAAAAATTGTCTTTAAAAAAATTCTTTTATCACCCAAGCCACATGGACCTGGAATTTTTCCTAAGATTCTTGACTGATATGGCAGTGACGTGCAACAAATAACAGGGGTTGACCCACTTATTTTGTATAGCTACTCTTGGTTGTGATTGCTAATAACAATTCTGGAGGCTCAAATTAACAATGGCCATGAAGGACAGCAATTAAGGCCATTTGTCTTCTAAATGTGCCAATGTAGGTTCCATTGGTAGTTTAAATTTATATATAGAAGTTGCTCATACTATTATAATGGGCAATGAAGGCCCTGAAGGTATGTGTTGCAAAGCAATAAGTCATTTTAGGGTCATGATAGCCAATTATATTTTGAGACAAAATTTCCCATTGCTATGGAAAGATTCATTTCCTAACAACCTCTTCATTGATTAATTTAAATTAAAAAGTACATCATTTTTCATGAGAGCATTTATATAAAGGCTATTTTAGGCATATTTAAATGACAGTGTTAAGACCTCAACCTGGTAAAGTTTTGTTATTGTAAAGGATTGATGTGGTCATAAGAGTGATTTGAGGATACCCAAATCATATTCCACTTTTGATAAAGGTTTTCAGGTTATAGTGTGATCTGAACATTTCTGATTTTGCCTTTTTTGCCTATAACTCTGGCTTGTCTCTGTCATTGGTGAGAAATATAACTTTTATTCTCAAATTGATAAACTTTTGATGAGGGAAATAAATTTTTCATTTACTGAGAGTTTATAGGCCTGAAATTTAACAGCCCCCCCCTGCCTGCTTTTGGTCAGAGAATTCACTGAGTTTCTTCACAGGGATCCCCATGGAAACTAAACAAAAAAGCTACTCGAAAGGAGACAGGTTATTGGTTTTTCTCATTAAATCCACTGCTGGATTTTCATTAGTTCTAATCCATTTTCCTTCAAGATTAGATATATAGGCCAGTTCTGGTTTTCACGAATTGAATAAGCGAAATATGTTGAGTTGTGTGTGCCTGTATATGCAGGCTGAGATGCAAAAGTAATTATTCTTCTTCTGCCATAAAATTACCCCAGAAAATAAAGCCAGGAAAAACGACTGATATAGAGGGGAAGGGCCACCTCCATTTTTTAAAAAAGAGGTTATTAAATACAGTGGAGGTGCTGAGAGTGGTGGTAGGCTCATCTGATCAGTTTTATGCTTCATTCAGTTTTTCCCCACTTTTGTGTTATAATTGTGTGTGAAAGTAATCTAAATAAAGTATGGAAGCATGTTTCACTGACCACAAGCACTTTAGACCTTATAAAAGTTTAAGTATTTTGTTTGCTATTATGACTAGATTTCAAAGTGTTCTTTTAGAGCAAGAAATTTGGTAAAACTTAGATATTGTGGGACTTCCCAGGTGGCTCAGGAGATAAAGAATCTGCCTGCCAGTGCAGGAACCATAAGAGACCTGGGTTTGATCCCTGGGTGGAGAAGATCCCCTGAAGAAGGAAATGTATACTGGAGGCAACTCACTGCAGTATTATTGCCTCAAAAATTCCATGGACAGAGGAGTCTGACAGGCTACAGTCCCTGGGGAACTTGCCTCATAAAGACAATTTTCTCTCTTTTCCTTCCTTCCCTTCCCCCTGATAAAGCTGTTAAAAACTATTTAGATTCCTGGTGGTTTATATAGTTAAATGTATCTTCTGTTATTATTCATATTTAAAAATCTGTGCCCTCAGCCTTACTTCTGAGCCTCAAACCAATCTTTTATTCAAACAAGACACGGATAGAAGTTTCAATGTATGTGAACATTTAATGAAAGTAGTGATAGATAGAAATACTGTTTATTATTAAATTTATGAGTACCACAATGTACATTGCAATCTAATGTGTTTTCCAGCACATCTACTGTTTAGAATATAACAGTAATTCTTCTTTTCCCCTTTCAGGTGGCTGTACTTTTGATGATGGTCCTGGGGCTTGTGATTACCACCAAGATTTATATGATGACTTTGAATGGGTACATGTTAGTGCTCAAGAACCTCATTATCTGCCACCAGAGATGCCTCAAGGTAAGTCATTCTGTTTACTAGGGTTGGAAAAGTCCATTTGGAATATGTAGCATTTTCTTATATTAGGTTATAATATAATAATTTGTTATAACAAACTACTGTTGTCAAACTACTTGACCCCATCAAATACCCTCAATGGATTCTTTGCCTTTTCTTGAATAACTTTATCTAACCCTTTGTTCCTCAAGAAAATTCACTGTAATCTTTGTTATCTCTGACCCTGAAAAAAATGTAAGTATTAGTGCTGTTTTCCCATTTAATAAAAAAGCAAAATGGAAATAAAACCAAAACATAAAAAAAAATAAAAAGAACAACATCTAAAATCCTTTCAAAACTGTCTACATTGTGAGATCAGCTCACTTACACCCTCTTCTATTAAATCATAAGATTTGATGTAATTAGACCACTTTAACGACAGAAAGCAAAGAAGAACTAAAGAACCTCTTGATGAGGGTGAAGGAGGAGAGTGAAAAAGGTAGCTTAAAACTAAATGTTAAACAACTAAGATCATGGCATCCGGCCCCATTACTTCACGGCAAATAGAAGGGGAAAAGGTGGAAGTAGTGACAAATTTCCTCTTCCTGGGCTCTAAAATCACTGGAACCATGAAATCAGAAGACAGCTACTTCTTCGCAGGGAAGCTATGACAAACCTAGACAGCGTGTTGAGAAGCAGAGACATAGCTCTACCAACAGAGGTCCGTATAGTCAAGGCTATGGTCTCCCCCGTGGTCACGTATGGTTGTGAGAGCTGGACCGTAGAGAAGGCAGAGCACCAAAGAATTGATGCCTTTGAACTGTGGTGTTGGAGAAGACTCCTGAGAGTTCCTTGGACAGCAAGGAGATCCAACCGGTCCATCCTGAAGGAAATCAGTCCTAAATATTCATTGGAAAGACTGATGCTGAAGCTGAAACTCCAATGTTTTGGTCACTTGATGAGAACAGCTAACTCATTGGGAAAGCCCCTGATGCTGGGAAAGATTGAGAGCAGGAGGAGAAGAGGGTGTCAGAGGATGAGGTGGCTGGATGGCATCACCGAGGCAATGGCTGTGAATGTGGGCAAACTGCGAGAGATGGCGAGGGACAGAGAGGCCTGGTGTGCTGCGGTCCATGGGGTCACAAAGAGTTGGACGCAACTTGGCGCCTAAACAACAGCAACAGCCAGACTGAAGAGAAGCTTTCTTGTTTCATGGTAGGTAGAGAGCTTATCTCGTTCCATTGGCTATGAGCATGCTGCTGGCTCTCAGGAGAGACAGGTTAGACAGAGATGGAGATGGAGAGGACTTTGTGAGCTGACTGTAGAAAAATAAGGCTGAGCTCTGCTTTCTTTGCCTTGATCTTGTTATACCCTTTGCATTTTGGTTTTGTGAAATAGTGCATCTTCTTATTGTTTAAGCCAGTTCAAATTGTGTTTTCCCTTAATTATTAATAACTTAGGATCTTAACATACACATACCATTTTATATACTAGCGGGCTAATATTTATGCCTTCAGTTCCAGACTAGTTTGGAAATAATGTCAACCTCTGTGTGTGTATATTATTAAATTGAAAAATTGAAACTACAAATAGAAATTTTAAAATACTTTACTAAAGAGAGTAAGTTACTTTCTTATTACTTAGAAATAAAATATGGAATATAATTATGTATGATCACATATATAATATATAAAATACTGATAGTTAATAATGTAATATATTAATATACTATGCCATAATACATCATCATTTTATTATAGTATATTATCGTATGTGTTTGATGAGATGTTTGCCTATTAGTAGTAATTTAAATTTTAAAATATAGTTTCAGTGTTTTAGTCATAATATTATACACTTTAATTTTTCTTACTGTTTCACCCCATGGTGTACTCTTTGAGAGTAGTGTGAATTAAATCTGCTTTCTACTCTAAATTGTTACTTTTCATGGGTGAGTATACAAATGGATACTTCTGTAGCTGAGCTGAGCCGTAATTTCCAGAGGAATTAATTAGTACTAGGCGACTAGTACCCTTTGCTTCTCATATTTGACCCTTATGTTGTCAGCAGACTTATTATTTATTTATTTTTGCATTCTTTATGATTTCCTTTATTTAAATATTAAAAAAACAATAAAATAGAAGCCATGATAATGTTTTATTTGGTGTATGTATGACTATAAGGAGGTTTAAAAGAGTCTTCTTAGGGTGCCACTAATATTCTATGTATGACCTGGGCAGTGTTTTACCAAGCATGTTCACTTCATGAAAATCCATCCAAGCTATGCTTAAAATTTGCTTTTCAATTTTCTTAAATTTTTATTTTACATTGAAATATAGTTGATACACAATATTGAGTTAATTTCAGGTGTACAACAAAGTGATTTAGTTGTACATACACAAATATCTATTCTTTTTTAGATTCTTTTTCCATATAAGTTAGAATCCTGAGGAGAGTCCCCTGTACTGAAGAGTAGGTCTTTGTTAATTATCTATTTTATGTTTAGTAATGTATATAATGTGAATCCTAAGCTCCTAATTTACTGCCCATCCCCCCCACACGCACTTTACCCTTTGGTGACAACAAGTTTGTTTTCTGAGGCTGTGAATCTGTTTTTGTTTTGTAAATAAGTTCATTTGCAATGTTGTTCTTTATATCCCACATATAAGTGGCATCATATGTTATTTGTCTTTCTCTGTCTTACTTCACTTAGTATGATAACCTCTAGGTCCATTTATGTTGTTGCAAATGGCATTATTTCATTTTTACCCTTGAGTACCATTCCATTGTACATATATACCACATCTTCTTTACCTATTCATCTCTTGATGAAAATTTAGCTTGGCTATTGTAAATAATGTTGCCGTGAACATGGGGGTGCATGTATCTTTTCGAATTATGGTTTTATCTGGATGTATTCCCGGGAGTGGGATTGCTGGATCAAATGGTAGTTCTATTTTTAGTTTTTTAAAGAACCTCCATACTGTTCTCCATAGTGGCTGTACCAGTTTGCATTAGTGTATGAGGTTCCCTTTTCTCTAAACTCTCTCTAGTATTTGTTTTAGTGGGCTTTTTGATGATGGCCATTCTGACTGGTATGAGGTGATACTTCACAGAAGTTTTGATTTGCATTTCTGTAATTAGCGATGTTGAGCATTTTTCCAGGTGCTTTTTGACGGTTTGTCTTCGTTGGAGAAATGTCTGTTTAGATCTTCTGCCCATTTTTTGATTGGGTTATTTGTTGTAGACTCATTTAGTTGTGTATTGTAGCTTTGTATTTTCCCTCAAAAGGTACATAACCTTATTTTCCTGGTACATCTTAATTAAAGAAACTTCTGTAATATTTTATCTGTGCTTTCTCTGAGGTATATTTAGACTGAATTTTTATATAAAAGTAGAAGGGGTGGGCTGTGATGCACATATTTTGACTGTTTATCATTAGAGAACAATCAGAAAGATGTTGATTTATGGAAATGTTACCATTGTTAATTACCATTGAAAATGGGTAATGAATAACTGAAGAGTTACTGCTCAGATGACCTTGTTGGTTCACCTTTGATGAGCAGCTTAATCAGTGGTTACAGTACAGGATGATGTGCACAGAAAATGAAAGTGTTTGAAATTCAGCCACATCTTTCAATTAATAAGACATTAAGTAATTAATCATGCAGAGGAGGGAAAAAGGTCATGGCCACTTTATTTTTGCAAATGCAGTTTGTATTTGGTTTTTGTAGATGTTGAAAGTATGTATCTGTTCTTTTGCTGTTCTCTTTTTATAATCTACACTACTTTTTTTTCATTTTCCTTCTGATATTCCTCTAAAATCCTCACTGAACATTATTCATAATTTGGAAAAAAGGAGATAGATTTATCCTATTAAAATTTTATGAATGGTCCATTTATTTTAAAATAGACATGTTTATTTTTCTCAATTATTAAAAATGAGAAAACTCAAACATTTAGCAGCCCAAAAATAAGGCTGAGTCTCTGATGCAAACATATTTTTCCCCTTTGGAACTACTTAAAACTTAAAAAAAAAAAAATACAGTTGATTTCCAATGTTGTGTTAGTTTCAGGTATATAGCAAAGTGAATCAGTTATACTTATTTTGGATTGGCCAAAAAGTTCACTTTTGGCTGTTTCTGTAAGATGCCTAGTTAGCGCAATGGTGAAGAATCCACTTACCAATGCAGGAGATATCCCTGGGTCGGCAAGATCCCCTGGAGGAGGAAATGGCAACCCACTCCAGTTTTCTTGCTTGGAAAATTCCAGGGACAGGGGAGCCTGGAGGGCTGCAGTCCATGGGGTTGCAAAGAGTCAGACATGTCTTAGCAACTGAGTGTGCGTGCTACAGAAAAATCCAAATGAACATTTTGTCCAACTCAATGCATATATATATACATTCACATATACGTATACATGTACATATGGCTTCCTAGGTGGTGCTAGAAGATGTAAGAAGAGATGTGGGTTCGATTCCTAGGTCAGGAAGATCCCCTGGAGGAGGGCATGGTAACCCACTCCAGTATTCTTGTCTGGAGAATCCCATGGACAGAGGAGTCTGGTGGACTACAGTCAGTAGGGTCCCAAAGAGTTGTATCCCACTGAAACGATGGTATTTAGCATGCAGCACTCATATGTATACATATATTCAGTCTTTGTTAGATTCTTTTCCCACATAGAGCATTACAGAGTATTGATTAGAGTTCCCTGTGCTATACAACAATTTTATAAATATAATGTGTGTATGTCAACTCCAGTCTCCCAATTTATCCCTCCCTCTCTTACCCTCTTTGTTTTCTACATCTGTAATTCTGTTTTGATACATAAGTTTATTTGTACCCTTTTTTAGGTTTCAGATATGAACAATATTATATTTGTCTTTTTCTGTCTGTATTTCTTCACTGTGTATGATAATGCCTATCTAGGTCCATCCATTGTGCTGCAAATGACACTATTTTGTTTTTATTCACTGAATAATATTCCATTGAATATATGTACCACATCTTCTTTATCCATTCCTCTGT